TCTATATATATATATAGACAATCCTTATGGTTGTACGGCAGTGAAGCATCAGTGGCAACACTGATGTTGCTGTCTTTGATGATGATGATGATGATGATGATGTGACCGGTCCTTCGCTGCTTTTGTGGTTTTGTGGATCTGTGAAATGCGCGTACTCAGACCGGCAATCAAGAATCTCGTGGATCTTGAAATGAATTGAATTTATCTTGACAATCTTTGGCGTCGTTTTTCATATGTATGCAAGTGCATTTCTACTGGAGTGCCTTTTGCACAACGATACATTGTGTCAACCTTCCTGTCTACAGAACAGCTCAATCTACCGCGCCAAAGCGTGGTGTCTCGCCAGTGGTGAACTAGCCTAGGGTTTCGGAAGCATTCCAGCTAGTGATGAATACGGCGCATATTGTCGGATCATTTAGTTTCAAGGAGAATGAAGGTCCACGCTGATCGAGAAATGTGAGGGGACACAAAAGACTTGGAAAGTTCAAAAATTATTGCAACTAATCTGCGCAACTGCTACCGAGAGAACTTATGGGCGCGAAAATGTCGACTTAGGAATTGGTTTTCTAATTTCGAACGGGAGAGGGTGTTAGCTTTCGGACCTTTGGGATGACGATCCGTTGTAGAAACAATTCCGCTAGCTACCTGTGGTCACTTAGATTTTCGACCAGTGGCAGAGTACTTGATGGTGACTGATAAGCCTCCAGCACCGCATGTGTGCAAGTACACTTTATGTCTCAGGTCACTGAATGATTGGTCCCCTTGCAATTTAGGGGAATCTTGGAAAATGTGTTGTGCTTGAAATGTGAGAGATATTGTATCAGCTCTGGTGGTCATGTGACGGTTGCCTTTGGGGCGCGACGCTCGCAGGCTCCGGTTGTGTTCACCGCGAGCGTCAAAGGTATATAACTTCGATAAGGCATGTCATTGATGGTAGTGTGAGGAGATTTGGGATTTTTGCGGAGATTTCATCCTGTAAGTGAAGCCAGTCTATGCTGAAAAGCCGAGAAGCACTGTACAGCGGTTTCATTCTTCTTGGGAATCAACAGTGCGCATCTCACGAAACCCCGAAGAATCTCGAATCCGCGACCTCTTGGCTAGTAGCTTGAGCACTTAACCGTTCGACCATGAGCGGCTGATCAATAGCTTGCACAGACATGATATAGCGCCGCTCATCATTCAATCACGGGACCAACATCACGCAGTCACACGTTTTGACCGGCTCCTCGAGCAACGACCTCTCAAATGGAAGTGCTGTACAGCTGCGGAATGCTTCTCGGTCTTTCAGCATAGATTGACTTCACCCACAGAAATCTCCGCACACAAAAAAACGAATCTCCTCACACTACCAATAATCTATAAGTAGCTCAGAGGAACAATAAAATTCAACTCGAGTGAAACTTCCATGTGAGAAGTCGTTGCTCGAGGAGCCATTAAACACGTGTGACCGGGTGATGTGGATCCAATGACTGAAGGATGAGCGGAGCTACATAATGTCTGAGTGCAAGCTAATCAAACTATTGATCAGTTGCTCATGGTCGAACGGTTAAGTGTTCAAACTACTAGTCAGGAGGTCGCGGGTTCGAGACTCTCCGGAGTTTCGTGACATACACACTTCTGATGATTTCCAATGAGGGTAAAACATATTTACAGTGGTTCTCGGCTTTTCAGCATAGATTGGCTTCACTTACAGGACGAGATCTCCGCATATCATTGAGCCGTATAGGCAGTTGCTATCAAACTGCCGTCTAGACCGTTGCAAAGCTTGGTCTCTGCGGGCGGGAGCATCTTCTGGCTCCGCTCATTCCGAAACCTCAAATGCTCATAATTTGGCATAATTGCTTTTCCAGGAATTATGATCTCACATTCATTACAGACCTGCGTGTCGGGAACTCCCTTGCCCCGGAATACAGCACTTTTGTCCCAACAATCTGGAAGCTGAGCCAAGACTCACCTATCAGGCATATGTTCTATTGCTGGAAACGTTTCTTCAATTAGCACTGTTTCGGCTTGTTCCTTAGGAGTATCCTTCATGTCAAAATAAATGCGTAGTCTTTTATCTTTTATGTGCTGAGGGATTCTGTTTCAGCCAGGTGCCTTGTCTCAGTTGGTGTTCATTCTGTGTTATGTAACTAGTATGATTAAGCTGCATTTGAAGCGCTACATCATTGGCTGCACTTCGTGCGTGCTCGTATTCGATAATGCTTACTGGCGGTCCAGTCATCGAACGCGTTCGAATCCTTAATACTGATGGAATGTCTACTCCAGTGAGAAGAAAATGAACCGAGTTGAACCCCTATGTAATCGTTTAACTACTATGTGCCTGCGAATTCTCTGCCCTCCAATTCGTTCCAATATGTCCTCAGCTCATAAGCTCACGAAGTCTCGTTTTTACAGCCAAACGTGCTGACAAATAAAACAAGTTCAAATTATGAATCGGTTGAATTTCCGTCCGTTGCATAGACAACCGTTGAAACCTAGTCACCTAGTATAGCTTCGGTCGATCTGACAAGAATAACACTGCGGTACTTTTGAGCATATTTCAGGGTTTTCTGGAAGCCCGAAAAACGAACTCTCTCTCTTAAGGATCTCGTCATTCTGAACACGCCACCGATAATTCAGTTCTGAAGATTTTTCGAAAAATTCCTTTCAGAACAACTAACACATTCGTTTAAGTCGTTTTAGGAACAGGTTAGAATGATATCGCGTGCAGAACATTCTTGCATTCAAACGCCATCAAGTGCGAACTCTTGTTTTTTTCTACGCTTTGTTCCTATCCTCTTAAACACGCACGAGATACTGTGATGAATCGAACATCAGGCTGGTTTAGGCAAAGCAATATGTAGGAAAGCTCCTTTTTGTTCCGCCTGTAATTGAAATACTACAATTTCTGACTCGTGGGCAGAATGTGAGGTCGAGCAAATATGCCCATAGATTGTCTTTGTTATTGTTTTTGATGAGCTTGGGGCGATTAGGGTATTGTTACCCGTTCATTTTTCTTGTTTGCTTCTGACGAATCAGTTCGTACTGCCGGACTGTTTGTGACCTATAAACCTGGTTTGCCTTTGGCGAAAACAAAAATCGAAATGTATTTGGCAACCACATTTTCCAACATTATGCTCCACGCGCCGATACTCAGTCAACAGATTAGAATAGGTCTGGATTTTCCGAGTGAATGACATGCTGTCCTTCGGACTAATGGAGTTGGTTTTACGTGCATTGTTCCATTTACTCATGTGAAACCCATTAGTGACGGGGCTTTTTGGTTTTCCCTTTCCCGCTCCGGTAACTGGCTACTCATGAAATGTCCTGACTGTTTGAGCAAATGTACTTAACGCGAATCGTTAAGTCATCTTTGGGAAAAGCATTGGTTCTTCTGTGGTGAGCCGTGTTCATCGCGCATTGAGAAATGCACTATGTCCGTGTGCGAATGTCAACCGGGATCGGAACGCTACGTGCACTGATTTCCACCCCCAAAATATGGTTTAATTCCTTTTTACTGTTTGGCATCCGCTGGTCTCATTGATCGATAGGATTCCTCCGCGCTGTTTATGGTGTGGTTAAACAGAAACTTCAGTACATGGAATACGGAGAGAGCAGGGGGTATCGAACCTATCATTTACTAGGTTGGGGGACTTTTTGAAACCTGACGTTGGTGATGCAAAACCCGACTGGTATTGTGAGAGACAGTCCTTGTGCGTGAGTTGGTCGTTACTTTCTAACCCCTTTGCCCTTTGGTAGATCGCTGTTTTCTACCATAATATAAAGTTTATGAAAAAAATGAGAAAATAAAGGAGCATATAACAGCGTATACCATATCGCTGAATAAAATGGGGTTACAGATTGAGTACTTGAACTAAAATCCTACGCTATATGGTGCGATATGTGATATCTACTTTTATGCAGGATCGTGTTAATTAGGCCTTCACAAAGTTACCTTTTAGCTTATATACCTACGTGGATGATGACAGTATACTCTCAGCTGGGTTCCAGGTGAGTCTCTCGAAAGAACCAAATTAGTTTGCAAATGAGTGTATATTCGCTAATTTCGTGCAATTTGGTTTCAAGTAGAGCATAAGGTTGTCGGAAACCCGGGGACGGCGTCTACCTGATGAGCCCCAAGAAGGGCGAAACCGGTCGTGGGCTGTCGATGGATTTTCAGCAACCTTATGAGTAGTACATTACAAAGACAGTATACTCTGTTTCAATGAACACATTGTGCGAACCTGCTTTCGTTTCATCACAAGAAAAGGTGTAGTACATTCAAAGACAGTATACTCTGTTTCAATGAACACATTGTGCGAACCTGCTTTCGTTTCATCACAAGAAAAGGTAAGTATATCTTTGCGCTAAATAATGTAGACAAGCAATCTCACTGATCAACTTTCAAACATTTTCGATCACATTCTTCATGGATAGTCGCCTGTTAATATCACGCGAAGTAGTTGTATTCTTGGCAAACGTGCAAGACAACAATGTACGAACAAAAGGGCGATCATAACCTCAGCTGGTGAAGGTAGGTGATTTTCTATTAATCCGTAGCCAGCATGTGATGTTATCAACGTTTGACCGGCTATCCAAAGTCGTCGTGAACACCTTCGTGACCGAATTGGACTAAACGCTCTAAAGCATAATGTGGTATGGTTTAGGGGGGCAGCTGCACATGTTCATGAACCTAGAGTCCAATTATTGACCAATCTGATTTTCTTCGACCAACATCGACATGCTGCACCGTAATCGCAATGAAGGTTGTGACCAGCACCAAAATAAGTAAGTTCTGCAGTTTGTGTTCGTTGACAGTCCAGTCTCATCATGCCCAGGGCGTAGAACGTACCTATCACTGAAACAGAAACGTGACGTTAATCGAATGCTCAGTGATGGGAACTCAACAATCGCTTTGGTCAACTGCTTTGGTGCAAGCAATACAAGTTAGGAGTGCAGTGAGGTGGAGATGACGAACCTCGACCTAAAGCTGTCACCTTGACGTGGTGGTGCAGTGAGTGGAGATGACGAACCTCGACCTAAAGCTGTCACCTTGACGTGGTGGTCGGGCTTGAGTGCTGCAATGATCCCGCGGGCTAACCTGGCTAGAACTTCGTTCCACAAGGTACAACCATGCCAGGAAGGCCAAACGAGAGCGACCAGACCAAGAGCAGTGAGACCCTGCACTACGAGCAATCGTGGTACGGGGCGGTCTGGGGGTAAAGTCGTACTGTCCTCTGCGACAGGAGTGTGAAGGCAGTAA